AAAAGTGATACCGAACTTTTAAAGCACAACACTCTTATTTTTTTAAATATATACCTTTTTTTTAAAAAAATTCTTATTTGATGTTTAATTGTTTTAAATGTATTGCCCCCCTTTTTAATAAAAAGGAAAAAAAAACAGTTTATTCCAGCACTGAACTTCCTCCAGTGAAGTCATCAAGGCTGTCTTTAGTGCACAAAAGTCACACAAAAGTCACACAGCAATCATCTGCCAAACTAGTGTCTGAATTAAATCTTGAGAAACAACATTGTTTACATTTTGCAGAAAGGTTGTATCTATGCCCCAATATCGCTTCATTAATATGAGGTGATTTCAATGTTTAGATTGTCCCATAAAAAGGAAATCTGTGGGGGCTTTAGCAGGTCTGAGCCTGTTTTTGTTTTGTTTGTTTTTCTGGAGTGTTTTGGAATATTGTTGTTTTTAATTTAGATAGGAATTGCTGTTTTTGTGAATGTTCCTTTTAAGGAGCATATATTTCACATATTTGTCGTATATTTAAAAAAAAAAATTCTTTAAAAATAACGTTTAGATGTTAAGAACAGCCATTAAAATTTGAAATCCTTTTCTGTTAGCCAAAGTTACTCCTCACTGCAAGCCATAGCATTCACTCCAGCAGTGAATTTCTACACGGCAGGGCTACATTTTTACTAACAGATTGCTAGTGGCATATGTTTATTTTTAGCCCTGATTTTAACTATTTATTGGAAAACACTTTCCCCTGTAATCTTAAAGAATCAATCTTTTCACAGCTCATTGTATTTTAGTTGTTTGTGGTTCATTCTAAATGCCCCTTTCTAATTTATTTTTATATTTTTTTTTCTTTATGCCCTATCTCTGAAGCACACGAATAGTTAAACATGTACCACCCAATATCTTAATATTGACTGTGAACATATAACCTGTTAATTATCTCCCAGTAACTCATTCTGTTAATATACTCTCCCACCCTCCGTTTTATTTTCTTTTTATTAGAACTATTCTTTGCTTTCAGTTTTATCTACAAGGCCACCAAATTCACTTTATCTGAACGCCTTTTACAACCAACCATCTGATGCAGCAAAATATTACACTAACAATAGAAACAATAATCTTTCACGATCAAGAGCCTGCCAGGGCTTCATAACGGTTCCAGGCAATCGGAGGTGGGGGTTGGGAGCATCTGTACAGGCACAGTGCTTACTGCAACAGAAAGCCGTTCACAATCTATCTATGAAAAGGTTATAATGACCAAGAAAAGCCACAGTGCCTCAAAAACAAAATAGCAAACTTGAAGAGAAAACAAATATATAGTAAATTAGTAAACTTGAAAAACCATAAACTGCATGAAATTTTCTTGATATGACAACAGATGTTAAACATATGTTACTGTGAATATGGGCAACTGCCTACTACTACTACCTCTATATGTTGCCACTATTCCTAGGGAAGTGATTAATACGGGACTTCCATTGCCTGTTTGAAAGTTTTTAGGAAGCTATTGAAATTTAATAGTTTTTTATGGAATTTCTGATCTGATCTGCAGTTTGTTTTGGGGGATTTTGTTCTTTAAAATAGCATGGAGGTATAATAATCTAACCTGTCTTCTCTCCTAGGAGTCTAATGTACTCATTGCTGCGAACAGCCAGGGCACAATTAAGGTAAGATTATTATTTTTTTTTTACTTCTCTAGGTTTCTTTCTTTGCACCAGCTTTAAATCAAATGTTATTTTCCTGTCAAACTGTATGTATCCCTTCCTTTCTGTTTTAATTGTTTTACAAGTTAGATTTTTCTGCACTTGCATCTATGGGTCCAGATGATATATCTTTATGGTTTCAATGGCAGTGTACTTTAAAGGAACCATCCATATAATATATAATTTAGCACTAACAGAATTCCATCCCATTCCTTATTTAAGAGAATTCTAAAATTGGGTCTCTATTCCAATACGTTTGTCCCCACAATAAATTGTATAATTTAGGGATGTGCAGGTATAACAAATCTTGTATATTGGGTAGCGTATGACATTTGTACAAGTAGCAGTGCCGACTGTTTTCCTGGCACTATAGTGGTTCTTTAATCAATCTCGTTTTCCTGGCACTATAGGGTCTTTAGGTCCCCCCCCACCCTCAGGGTCCCACTCCCGCCGGGCTGAAGAGGGAGGAAGGGGTTAATCACTTACCTTTCTCCAGCACCAGGCTCCCTCGGCGCTGGGGAAATCTCCTCCCTCGTCCGACGTCAGGGCTGCATGCGCGGCAAGAGCTGCGCACGCATTCAATCAATCCATAGGAAAGCATTAATCAATGCTTTCCTTTGGACGTCAGCGTTGAGAAGCGGGGAAGCGCATCTAGCTGCTGTCAATGAGACAGCCACTACTAGAGGCCGGGTTAACCCTAGATGAACCTGGCACCCAGACCACTTCATTGAGCTGAAGTGGTCTGGTTGCCTATAGTGGTCCTTTAACATTCGTATTTTAGTATTGGTGTGTTATGTATAAATATCTCAAACCTCTGCTTGGCTCAGACCAAAATCAACTAGAATTGCAGGCTCCTCCTGATTGGTCGAGATACTTTACAGTCTGGGCTGCACTCATGCTGCTTGTCAGTGGGTATGAAGTAGCTTCACAACTTTGAAGTATATTTCTTATTTTAGAACTAAGCCTTGTTCTCAATGCAAGGCATTAGACAACATCTTAGGCATTGATGTAGCAGGTTAAATGTTATGTACAGGAGTTACGGCCAACTCCTTATTCCTAGCCTGGCTAGAAACGGCAGTGTGGTTTTGCAGAATGTAAATTTATTTCCCAGTGGAGAGATTTGCCCCTGAGGTGCTAATTTTACTACTGGAGGTCAGGTTGCTGAGTTAATGTTGTGTATATAATTTAGGAAAATAAAGTGTTAAAGGGCCACAAACTTAAGCTATTTTACCATCTTATGCTGCCTGCATTTAGTTGGTGCCAATAATATGTTTTCCATTCTTTCTTTAGGTACTAGAGCTGGTATGAGGAATGGAGACCTAATTATCGAAAGCAAGAGGTGTTTGGAACTTTGTTTGGACAAAATCACCACATGTAGAAAACGCTAAACTCTTAACAGAGAATCGGAAACTTTTTACCATGCTTCTCTTCTGGGCTCTCATAAATCTGTGGGGTGAGAGCCGAAATGGACATAAAAGGAAGATGGGTTAAAGAAAGAGGCAAGCCTGTGGCTCTCAACAATTCTCTCCCCACTACTGTGTACTTTATATCTTCTGGTGCTGCTTTTTACCTTCATACTGGGGGAACAGTATCTACTTCCTCTCTGCACACTGCAGTTCCTACCAGCACTGAGGAATTCATCTGAGGAGTTAAGACTGGCTTTAATTTTTATTTTATTTTTTTGCTTTTCATTATATATATCAGAGAAGCTATATATATATATATATATATGAGAAGCTACAATACTGAAACAAGATCACACACATTAAATAAACTAAAACCTGATTAAAATAAAAGAAAATATTTCTAATGATGCAGGTTGTTGTTTTTTTTTTTTTTTTTGACATTGGGAACACCTTGCACTCCTTGAACTGGATTCAGCCTTACAATAAATGAACTGAGGACAGGATGTGTCGATGAGAAGTGTAACACCATGTGATTCTTAACTAATCTAGTTAGTCCTGGGCTCCTATCAAAGGACACTTTCTGGTCTTGTTTGTGTTTGATTCTGTTGGAAAGTCTGTAATATAGTTTAATTTTGCAGGTTGTCTTTGAAGTATCAGAATGTGGTGACCTTTACACAGGATAGCTTTGGAAACAGGTGTCAAACAACTGGAAATACCCCAAAAATGAAATAAAATTGGTTATTTCTTGCACTTTGTACAGTTTAAGTAGAAACAGATTTGCAAACATACTGCATCTTTCAATAACTCTGTATTGGACAAAACAAAATCACAAATTACCCAGAAATTTAGCAGTTCACCTGATCACAATAAATGCCTTGTATCAGTGGGTTAACATTCTGTTACCTATGCAAATGCGCACGCGCACACACAAAAGAAATTGAAAATCTGTTTTGACATACACCATTAATAAATCTTACTAGTAAGCAAGTACTAGCTTTAAGTGGTTTTATTTCACTTTTTACACAAGGGAATACTTTTTTTATTAAGAAGTCTTCCTCTTAAACTGTGTGTGGTTTCTTCTTTATAGTACATACCACAGTATTCGGTTACCATCCTCAATCATAACAAGTCTTATTTTCAAACATTCTGTCGATAAACCTATAGCCGCCTGTAATGTAGGGAGTTCTGTCTCCTTTTTTTGAGAGTATTACTCTGCTCTGAAAATATCCGCTCTTTATTAGATTACGAGAAAATAGAAACCTGATTCTGATAGGTTCATGTATTTTAATTAAGGAATCTGCCTGTACCTGTTGGTCTTCTGTGCATTATTAACCTATGGTGGTCAGTGAGAGGAGAGAACGGCTAATTGCCCTGGCCGGAAGCAGAGCAGTTCAAAAATAGGAATCTGATGTATTTTGGATCTAACACATTCTGGTTGTTGTACTTGGGTATTGAGCACTGCTTAGCCGGGGGCTCTCCCTTGCAAGCATAGCAGTATTAAATAAGTATACCATGTTGCCATTTCCTTGATTTTGGTTACATGTTAGTTTGACTTTTAAGAGGATACATTCTCTGACTGCCATTTAGGAATTAAATCCCTTTGTTTATGAACCCTAGTCACACCTCCCTGCATGTGACTTGCACAGCCTTCCATAAACACTTCCTGTAAAGAGAGCCCTATTTAGGCTCTCTTTATTGCAAGTTCTGTTTATTTAAGATTTTCTTATCCCCTGCTATGTTAATAACTTGCTAGACCCTGCAAGAGCCTCCTGTATGTGATTAAAGTTCAAAATTGGCATTGAAATCTGTTACTACCAGGTCCCTACAAAAGATGCAGATTGGCATATATTTTATGTGTCCTTTGCTTATTGTTTTAAAAGGTGTACTTTAAGCACCATAATCACTACAGCTTATTATAGTGATTAAGGTGCCATGAGTCTTTAAAGGGCTCTCCCTTGCACCTTCAGCTTGGTTCTGCATCAGCTGCTCAGATTATGTGGAAGGGTCGGTTTGTATTATCAATTCAAATCTCTCTCACTTTGAACAGCAATGATGAACTGAAATTTCAAGGCTAACCATCCCAGTGCATGTAGCCTATCATTGCTGTCAAGGTTAGAGGACGTCTATGGATGAATTATTCGGAACTGAACCTGCCATGTTCGCTAAGCAGCTAGCTCAGGACACTGTTATATTGCACACATTTGTCAAATTTACCTCCTGTCTGTCAAATACCCATGAAACAAATTGGACTCACAACTGTTATTTGGGAAAAGTTCAAATTAAGTTACATTTAACTCCTTATCCTACAAATAAAAAAAATCTTTAAAAAGAGTAATGGGTATGGACTTGGCATTTGCCCTAGGAAAGAATGTCCAAGCTGACAAGGCATCATAGGAGTTGTAGTTCACCAAATGCGCATCTATACCTTTTCCCCACTGCAGATTGCAGTGTCTCTGCAGAACGTTTGCATTGCAGTCTGCATTGCTTTAATAGTGTTAATCTACTTTAGCAATAAATATAATTTATATTGTTGGATGTACTCTCCGTTAACTATTTACTGCAGAGTAGGCTGCCATAGTATCGTGGTGTATGACCTATAACTTGTAGGACAAATATTTGCTTAGCATAGTGTATTGTACTGCAGAAAAATTGAGTTTCTGGGTTATGCTAACCAAGCACGTCGACTGTGCAAGTTTCCTGCAGCTAGCACTCCTCTGGCTTTAAAGACTAATTTATTATTAACCACCTCGTTTATTACCAGGATTTATTATGTGCAGTCGCAGGGACAAAAAAGCATTTTGGCTCATTTTCAGTAAACCGTTCCTGCCCCTCGCATCCTAGTCCTGCTGTGTATTAAATGAATGTTGCATCAGATACCGTCTACATATTAAACCCAGAGTTTGACTGCAGCTTAGATACTGCCAAAGCTACTTTCATCTTCCCATTTTAACTGTTTTCATGCCTGTATATTTCTTTATTTTAGCAATCATGTTCTATATAGCTCTCTATCCGCTAACATGTTTACATTTAAGCCGCCCACGATCCTTAAAACTCATCAGTTAAGAGGGGTCGTGGTTTGGCCAAGTTTTACACTAACTTCGTTTTGGAGTGCGGTGCAAAATAAATTGAATTTGTTTTAGGGTTGTTGCTTCAGAGACAAATGAATTTTTGTGTAAGTATGTGTAGCTTTGCTTTTTTGGCTTTCAACTGTTTGATCCCATACAATAATTTTAAGTACATTTTCCTTGCAAATACAAAGTACCTTTTTCAAAACCTATGGTGAAAATTTCTATTCACTTATCCTACAGTAGAAGCAATTAACGTTGTTAAAATAATCTTTTAAGAGGATAATTCAGTTTGTGAGAGCAGCATATGTTTAATGTTTGGATTGCATATATTGAACTTTGATCAAATGTGCTGACAATTAATTTTTTTGTTGTTTTTTTTTTTTTTTTTAATTATATATCCAAGTGTTGAGTTCAGGTCTAATATTCTTTACTTTTAGTATTAAGCAGGCTTTCCTGGAGCTCTTTACATTACAACTGCAATAAAAAAAAAAAACTGCATTAGGTGACTTGGTAGTCTTTGTTTAAGGCACCTGCCGTGTTTGAAGTCGACATTCAGAACATAACATCAATTCCGTGCTTTCATCCCTTCTCGGTATTCTAATAAATTCCAAATGCAAATGTTATAGTTCTTATATATACAAGTTACATACAAACTCACATTAATATTGGATTTATGTGTCTTTTCATTGCTATGAAATACGAGCTCAGTGTCTAGTTGTGTACATTTCTATTTGTGTGCATTCAGAAGACAGTTCAACATCCGCAGCTGTAAATTAACATTTACCCTACTGTGCAAAACACCTCCACGGTCTTTGCAGTCATTTCGGTTTGTTAAAGTATGGTCATTTACATGTTTTATGTTTTTTTTTTTTATCAGACTGTTACAGTGAGCGTAATACAGCCGCAGTTTGCCTATTCTATACTGTGCGTATTACAGAGCTGCCACCTAAGTCATGTTTTCCTTTAATGTTTTGTTTGAGTTCCACCAGCTGTTGATAGATGCATGAACAGTGCTACCCCACAATAAACATAATTCACATGCCATCAGGTGGCTCTCAAACCATGTTGTTTCTACAGGGTCACTTGACTGTGAATAAATTTTCCTTCATCAGCCCATACATTTAACAAAACTGATAGACTGTATGGATACTAACTCACACTGTTCTAGGTTTACGGGTGTGCGGGAAAGCACAGCCTAGGTGGTAACTGTTTTATTTTTGATGCATTATTAACTAAGAGTTAATTTATTGTTCAGTGACTAATTAGAAGCTATAACATAAATGTAGGCATGATACGAGAGACCTGTCTAAACAGCCCATAACAATCTAGTGATAATGGAGATGCAACAATACCACAAATCTGCCAGTATAATCTTTGGAGCACACATCAACATTATCACAACCTTTGAGGTGCTTCGGGTCCCCTATGAAATGACGTGAATGTGCCTAAATCTTCTCCACCAACGACTGAGTTGCTTTGATTTCCTCTTTAGTCTAGCAGGCCACCATAAAACCTGTACTGACTGCAGAGACATTCTGTTCTCTATGACCGACACAGTGATGGCTCCAGAGGTGAACGGGTTAGATCTCTTTAAGAAGCAGGCCACAACAGATATCCACCACAGCAAAATTACTGTTTCATGAACCTGTCTGCTGTGTGACAATCTGATCTAACTCCAAAGTTTATAGCCGATGCTCCTTTCTTTGCTTAGATCAGCGCTTCCCAATTGGTGGTCTTGGACGCGACAACAAAATTGGGGTTCCGCTGTGATTTGCCCATCGAGGGACCCGGTCAGCGCCGCGGATAATTAATTGCGCGACCGGTCCCCCATAGTATGGGATGCTGGGGGGAAGTGACGGACGGTCATTTCCTCCCAGCTTCATATAGAAACCATCGTGCTGAAGGGAGAGAGGCAGCAGCTGGGAGTGAGCAGCTCCCCCCACATACACCAGCCTCAGCCAGAAAGTCACCCTCCTGCAGAAAGCAGGTATGCTAACAGGAGGGTGACTGCAAATAAAAAAAATGACGTGTGTGATCCAGTGTGTACCTATGTGGGTCACTGTGTGTTTACCTGAGTGTCTTATCTGTGTGTCAGTGTGCGTTATGTTCATGTGTCAGTGTTTATCTTTGTGTCGGTGTTTATGAATGTCTGTATATGTTTGTGTGTAAGTATGTATGTGGCAGTGTATGTGCATACATCCCAGCAATCAAACATTACATACAAAAACACCCCTGAATTCAAACTCCAAAATTATATACAAACACACCCTTCACTTAAACACCAATACTACACACATGCGTTTAAAAGCCAACACTACATCCAAACACACCCCTACATGCAAATGCAAACATTACATACAAAGAGCAACTCTACACACAAACACACCTGCTCCTAAGTACTAAAATCTGTTTAATATCTGTAAAAATAATTGTATATATACCAAAAAAAAAATTTTGCGGGGGAAAAAAAATAAAATATTACACTCTGCGAATTAAAAGGTTTGTGTTACGGTGCAAATTTTTCACAGGAAAAATTAATTGGGAACCCTTGTTTAGAAGTTTCTATTATGTATATTTTATCATTTATAGTTTTTGAACGTTTGTCCACTGACAAAGAAATGATCAGTCTATAATTCTAATAGTAGGTGTATTTTAACAGTGAGAGACAGAATAACAGAAAAATGCATGTCAAAGTTATACATTGATTTGCATGTCAAGTGAAATAAGTATTTGACCCCTTTGACTTAGTACTTGGTGGCAAAAACCCTTGTTGGCAATCACAAAGGTCAGACTTTTTTTTTTTGTAGTTGGCCACCAGGTTTGCACACATCTCAGGAGGGATTTTGTCCCAGTCTTTTTTGCAGATCCTCTCCAAGTCATTAAGGTTTCGAGGCTGACGTTTAGCAACTCAAACCTTCAGCTCCCAGATTTTCCATGGGATTAAGGTCTGGAGACGGTAATGCGAAAGACTTCCTAGTGATGGTGGACATCCCTGTCCGATCTTACCCTACTGCACTATTTTGATCATGTCACAGTTACTCAAATCTTTTCACTTGCTCATTTTTCCTGCTACCAACACGTGAAATGTAAGAACTGACTGTTTACCTGCTGCTTAATATAATCACACACCTTGGTACAATTGTAACAATATAATCAATGTTATTCACTTGTGTTTTTTTTATTATTGTTGCTGTTCAGGTTATACTCTTTCCCAATACTTCTAGGAGCAAAACTGCAGGGAAGAAACCCTCTCACCATTGGATCAGATTTATTTGCAGGAAAGGGCAATCCTTGCAATTAAATAGGGTTTTAAACCCTCCATAGGGAGATCTATATAAGCCTTTAAAATGTGCATTTACAGATTGAGCTGTGCAGTTCAATTGGCACTCACCTCTAGAAATAAATACCAGGGATTGTATAATTTACAAATAACTTGTATTTTCACTCTAGTATAATGCACGGTTCACCTGATCAAGTACTGTTATGTATGAGTAAATTATTACCATAGAAAACCAACCATTACTTTTTCTGTATTGCCCGTCCCAATATTCTGCAGGTGTCATGTTATTCCATATTGATGAAGGTTATACTAGTTCAGTTAATGTTCTGGATAACTGCTTGATTACTGGTTCTTGGCGCTTTGTTTCCTGTTTGTGCTATTAGCACGTCCCTAAGGAAAAGTAAACCCTGTCTTCTTAATTCACTGAGCTCTTGTTTAATTATTCCATGTTTTATTCACCTACTGCTCTTAATTAAAGGGATACTATAGTGCTAGGTATAAGAAGTATAGCTGGATACCTATAGTGTCCTTTTAAGTTGCCATTTCCTCTTTAGACTAATTTTGCATCAAATTCACAAAAAATGATTTTCTCTACATCAAGCTATTATTTCTCCCAGAGACTCTCAAAATGCTCAATGCCAAAAGTCTAAATGTGACTAAAATAAAAAAATTAAAAAAAAAAAAAAACCTGCATTATGAAGGATTCCAAAAACAGGATTCCATGTGGTGTTACCCAGAAGCCTTGTTTTGTTAAGGAGAAAAACCAATTTAAAGATAAACAGTAACTCAACTTAAAAAAATGTTTCATTGAGCCTTAAATAAAATGTTTGCGTACTAGTCGATGTCCAGGTACGTGTCCTGGTGGTTGTAGGCAATGTCAGTTTCTATTTGGGTCTTCAAGTAGATGTCCATTTTGCTAGGTTTGGTGTTGGACTTGCTTTACCATTCGCCTGAAGGTAGGCCCAACACCCGTTGAGCAGGGATTTTACACATTACAGTTCCCAAAACTTTACCTATGCAAGGTTGGACTACTTATTACATTTAGTTCCATACACCTGAAACATTGTTATCCATCCCATGCTATGGTAGAATCATTTCCTAGTTAGTATTGATACTAAGTCTACTTTTTCTTCACCCATATGTTTGATCTAACTCTTTGATAGAACCCCTACTATGTTTATCTGGGCAACCCAACTCATCAATCACACTACAATGCCCATATATAAAAATATGCAGTTCTCTGATTCTTGAATGATGCTGAATCTCTTATTCTGTTACAATGGTGGGACCTTAGGCCACTAACACACTCTGAATGGTTAGCCAAGGAAGAACAAATTAACATATCCACTGAGCTTTTACATGCATCTAATTGCAATATTTGAATACATACCTCCAGGTGGCCCTCCTGCTTCAAAATGTAATACAGGCACCATCTGGATGATTGCTATAAAATCTTATGGGTGCAACGTTAGTGATATTACATAGTTACATAGTAATCTAAGGTTAAAAATATATATATATATATATTAAAGTCCATCAGGTTCAACCTTTCTAAACAAAAACACAAAGTGTGTTACCAATAATCCTTGCATTCTCTACTTTGAAAAACTGGCATTCTGTTGCCTTTTGAAAAGTCTGTGTGAGCGTAAAAAAAAAAAAAAACAGGCAAAAACAGGGAAACTGCTTCTTATTATTGTGAACAACCTGGTGGAATAGTGGCCAGAGCATGGTGGACTTCTGAAAGGTTTTTGGGACGTCCTTGTCATATACGACAGAGTAACAACGGATTTGCTTTAAAAGAGAAATCACTGTCACAATTACTGGGGGGTGTATAATTTTGATATTGCTTAACCCCTTAAGGACCATACTTCTGGAATAAAAGGGAATCATGACATGTCACATGCACGGGTTCTCCCCTCTAATGCAAATCTATTTTTCTACTGGTCTTACCTCCGTGTGTACACATTTCTTTAAACACATTTTATTTACACAATCTGCTGTCTATTTTACCACAATGTTATGCACAAATCACAAAACCAACAAA